ATTTTAAAATTTGTCATTCATATTTCAGTTTGTACCTCCTTTGGCATCCTTTCTTTAATGATTCTATTCCACCATTTCTTCAGTATTAGTGTAATTCTTATCCCACAGCAAATTAGCCATGGCAAGTTGTCCTGTGATAAGTTGGCTGAGATGAGTTGTCGTATAGATCCCTCAAAGGGCATCAGAATTAAATTTGTACAATTAATTGTAGAATTAAAAGTAGATCTTAATTATTTTCCTTAATGCCTTCTGTTTGTGCCTCTATGTGTTTTCCACCTGTGTTGAAATCCAAATGGTAAAAAGAAACTGGTTAAGTTTGGAATTTTTTCTCACATTGTGGAAATTTCCTGCTTGGCTAGATAATCAAGGATAATATTTAATGTTCAGATTCTGACAGTTTCTAGAAATTAACATCTCCAGTTGGCTTGTCCCAGAGGTGCTTTTTCAGGAGGCAACTGGACTTTCTTGTTTTTTCTTTTCTTTTGAAGATGTTTCGCTTCTCATCTAAGAAGCTTCTTCAGCTCTAGCAGGATAAAAGAAGAAGCTTCTTGGATGAGAAGAAAAACATCTTCAAAATAAAAAACAAGAAAGTCCAGTTACCTCCTGAAAAAGCATCTCTGGGACAACCATGACTTGGATGACAGAGCATATCTACAGTTGACTTGTTCCTAGTCATCCTAGAAATCCGTTATGACAGCAAACACTCATTTGCTTTATTTTAGAAGTAAGCAAAAATGCAGGTGGCCTTTGTTTTTGCTACTTTAGGCTACGTCTTCAGAACCAGCAGCATGATGGACCTTGGGATCTTTTGTCACAGCCGAGAACGCTGGACCACACTGATCTCTAATCCGATTGAGCAGAGGTCTCCAGACTTGGCAACTTTAAGACTTGTGGACTTCAACTCCCAGAATTCCTCAGCCAGCATGGCTGAGCATGGCTGGCTGAGGAATTCTGGGAGTTGAAGTCCACAAGTCTTAAAGTTGCCAAGTTTGGAGATCTATGTGATAGAGATAGAGCAGCTTCATATATTGCAGAAGAAATTATTAAACAAGATTTTGAAAAAAATTAGGTAGATCTACAGGTATATAAAATAGATCAGTTCTCTGCATCTTCTTAATAGATGCTAAATTGATACTGTTTTTTTTTAATAACTGGGGACATGAAATGTTATCAAAATCCTTAAACCAGGAGTGTCCAACCTTGGCAACTTGAAGATCCTTCTTGGCTGGGGAATTTTGGGACTTGAAGTTTACAAATCTTAAAGTTGCCAAAGTTATTTTAATCAATTGGCACTTAACAAAACTAACTTTAGAACCAGAACAAACACCAAGTCTAGACACAGTCTTCTAAAACAGGGGTGTCCAACCTTGACAACTTTAAGACTTGTGGACTTCAACTCCCAGAATTCCTCAGCCAGCAAAGGTCTTAAAGTTGCCAAGGTTGGACACTCCTGTTCTAAAATGACCACGGGGACGCTGTTCATTATCACTTTATTAATGAGTTTTGAAAAGAGAAATGTTATTAAACAAAGTCCAAAAAGAGGACTTTGAACACAAGGAAAACAACAACAACAATCAGGCGGAAAGGAAAGTTTTGATCAACCAATCCAACCCTTCTGCCTTATGACTGTTTATTGATGCAGATCACTTGTTACATGCCACGATATTTTTTGACCTGGTTCTTATGCTTTTATGAGCAACTTGGCAAAGACATCAAATAGATTTTCTTATCCTCCAATCAAGGTTCTCAAGTTTTGTCTCCTTAATTCCTCTGCACGGGACTATTGACTCAAGCATATGAAGGAGGCCTCTGTAAAAACATCTCTCTCTCTGTCTCTCTCTCTCTCTCTCCCTATCTACCTACCTACCTATCTATCTACATTAGATATAGCACCTTTGAACTCCAAGCTGCACGACAGTAAATGAGGAAATTCTACTGTAGTTTCAATGCCATTTTCTGCTGTTGAGAAGGACCCATTTTTGCCACCCTATATTCCTGTAATCCTACACCAGTATTGTTACATCTTTAGCTATTGCATGAGAAGTAGAAGATCAACTTGTGAAATAATTCCCATCGTGGCAGCTGAATGAGAAGGCGGACTTCATCAGTGGAATTCCTGGTTCTCAAACCTCTTTTGAAGTGCGCAGAAGCCTGCCAAGAAGGAAATAACCATATAATTGCTTCTTTCTCGGTAGAAAATAGCCACACTCTGAGGTATTGGAGAGACACTTTGGAACGGCATGAAGTCATCCCCTAAGCAGCATGTCCCCAATGGTGCTCCTTTCAGCTTTATAAAAACACAAGGAATTGCAAAGCAGGCCAGCACAGAAAGACTGCACTGGCTCAGTTTTTGGCTGTGTTTAGCAACGTCTGCTGGCCTGTTTTGTTCGATGTTCTTTAAGAAACAGTCCCTTCTGCTATTTGCATCTAGAGATATAGGCTGGGGCTTTGTTTGTGCATAATTAGAGTTCTTATGCAGATTGCAAGCACTTGGGAGGGAATAGCAGCCGAGAAGCCGTCAGTAAGCACAGAATGTTCCCCTGGCATCTTTTAGAAACCCCAAGAACATTGCAGCACAAGCCTTTCTGCTGTTTTCTCTGGTCTTGTTAACTGCTTTACTGAGCATTTTCTTTCTCTGAATTCTTCCCTGTGGTAAATCCTCGATTTTGGATGGGTGGAAAATTAAATTGTTCAGTATCAATCCTGATGAAAAGCCTGCCCATTCTGTCTGGTTGCTCGTGGTGCCACGGCCATGAGGCAAGGCAGGAGGGTGGTGGAGCTGCTCCTCAAACCCTGCAATGGCTGACCTCAGGTCCTCGCAGCTAGGCCATTCATGGCCCAATACCTGCCTCACGGCGACAGCACCAGCAACCATGTGCCGCAGGAGCCTGCAGGCTCACTTCTTCTGCTTGCTTGCAGCTGCAACTCAGGAGTCTGAGTAATGTGTTGGCGCCATGGCTGTGAGGTGAGGCAAGTGTCGGGGCATGGATGGCCTGGTTGCCAGGGCCCTGAGGAAAGCCAGTGTGGGGCGCATGGAGGCAGCTTCATTTTCCCGCCTTACAACTGTGGCACCAGCACATTGTTGGCCTCCTGCTCCCTTGCGGCCATAAGTAAGCAGAAGTGGGCTGGCCAGCCACGCCGAGTCCTGCTGGATGGAGATGCCAGAGCCACCATGGTGAGGTGGCCTGGCAGCAGGGTCCCTGAGGTAATCCAGTGCAGAGTGTGTGTGGCAGCTCCACCCCGCTGCCTCATGGCAGCAGCACTGGTGCGCTGCACAGCCTCCTGCCCCTCCACGCTACATAGCCTCCTGTCCCACTGCGACCAAGCAGTAGTGGGCCTTCCATACCTGGAAAAACAAATAAGGCTTCCTCCAAAAATAAGCCCTAGTGCTTATTTGGGGGCCCAAAAGAAAATAAGACCTGATCTTATTTTCGGGGAAACATGGTATATCTATTGGCTAAAAATGTCATTGATGAGTTGGTTGGTTTGTAAAGTCATTGATGAATTGCACCATCTCTGTGAAGGTGAGTCACGTCGCTTGGATATTTCATGGAGGTGAGGCGCTGCTTCTATTTGCATACATAGAGAAGCTTTCCACCACAGCTGGAAGTGGATGAAACAGTTCCTGATGTTAACATAACCTCTTTAAGATTTGGAAATGTTGCTTCCAATGATGCCAAAGTTGGAAAACAGCTTTTGCTTACTTTACAGCCGGGTCACACTGTTGATTCACAGTTTGTTGTCAGCTGCAGTTTCAAGGTTTTTTTCCAATAGCTATGCCAGAATTCCTGCCTCGTATACCTATCCAGTGTGATTCGTTTCCTTGTTGGAAAACTTAGCATTTATCTCCAATAAACATAACTATTATTTTCAACTCATTTGAGGTACAGGTAGTCTTCAACTTTCAACAGCTCGTTTAATGACTGTTTCCAAGTTATAACAGATCGGAGAAAAGTGACTGATGACTGTTTTCCACACTTACAAGACGCTGTTACAGCATCTCCATGGTCATGTGAACAAAAATTGGATCCTTGGTTGCCGTGTTCTAGGGTCATGTGAGCCCCTTTTGTGATCTTCTGATAAGCAGTCAATGGGGAATGTGGAAATTCAGTCTGCATTCCCTTATCCAATACATTAACATAAATTTATGAAAAGTAGAAGCCCAGCATAGATCCTTGATCCAGTTTGATGAGAAACTACTGATGAGCTCTCCAAATCCTACAAATTGCAGTATCAAGCCTTCCTGATGAAGTTTACCATATCTCGGCTAAATTATCTTGGGCCAGCAGTGCATAATTCAAGAATGACAGACCGTGATCTCAGAAATTAAGCCTATCGGTAGCACGTCCACAATTAGTCAACAATAATTGTAACTCATGGTTGAATGGTGGGGTTCTTGGCGCACTCCGAGTTTGGTTGTTTTCTTATATTTCAATACAGAGTCTGGTTGTTTCCTTATTTTTAAATACTGAGTCTGATTGTTTTTTTATGTTTCAATACTGAGTTTGGTTGTTTTTTTATGTTTCAATAAGGAGTTTGGTTGTTTCCTTATGTTTCAATACCGAGTCTGATTGTTTTCTTATGTTTCAATACTGAATTTGGTTGTTTTCTTATGTTTCAATACTGAGTTTGGTTGTTTTCTTATGTTTCAATACTCAAACTAGGTGACATCATCGGTGCTTGATGGCATTATCGACCTAGTTGGGATAATGAAAACATCTGCAAGAAAACAACCAAGCTTAGACAGCAAAAATCACACACACACACACAAAATAACCAGTCATTTGCCTGTACTTTTCTTCTCTTCCAGTTTGTGAGAATGTCATCAAGCTTTCTTCTGAAATCTTCAAAGCTCAAGATGTTGCAGTTAAACTGACTGTCTTATTTGCTGCTATGTAGACCTCATTAATCTTCTCAGTATCTTTACTGAAACTCATATTGGTATCTGTCCATTTCCTTATTCCCAAACCCTTGAAAGAAATACCACAACCAACGTCATTGGCAAGAGCTAAAATAATTTATTTACTAAACAAGACTTTTCAAGTGGGCTGGTACAGCAAACAGGACTGTCAACGTTTCTCTTTTAAAGACTTGTTCTGACCATTTCCACACATAATTAACAGAGAAGCAGCTGTCAAAATGTACTCTCAGAAACAGCCTAAATATAGGAAACGGTTAATATTTTTCTGCCCTCCAAGTGAACCTGTCCTATTATCACATTTCTCTTCAAAGCAATAGCTTAGGGCTTAAAACTATGGCTTCTTACTCCGCCCTCCAAGAGTGACACACAAGAAAAGTCCAACTCCCCAGTCAATTTTCATTGTGCCAGATCAAGGTCAGCAAATCAAGACTGTTGAATTGAAATAATCATCCCTTTTCCCTCTGGAAAGAAAAAGGTGTGTTTTTTCTTTCTTTCTGAAAAGCGATTACATCTCCTCAGTCACAGAAACCACACTATCCTCAAGCAGTGTGAAAGTGAACTAAAAAAGAAAACCCTGAAAATGATGTATAAATATACTTTATTGGATCTGGTGGGGAAAAAAAAAAGTTCTAGATTGTCATCAGAGTGGTGGAAAAACGTAGAATGAAAGTTTTAAAATGGAGCTACACTAATCCTGGATTAGTTAATTGCTATATTTCAACCTAGAGACGGGGTGAAGCCCAAGAGCTGTTCAATGGGTTTGTATCTCCACTCATCTGCCTCCAGTTCTTCCACTAAGCCAGCGAGTTTTTCCATTCGAGCGACTTGCTGATCTGTATCAGAAAATTAAAAAATGGGTTTGCAATCAACTTTTGGTTAAGCCTTTTAATGTACTATAAGCCGTACATCGTGTCTTAAAGCAGAAAAAAATCTTTTATCGCAAGAAAATTAACTAGTTAGAATCCACACAATTTGTTTTCACCAGACATTATCAATCCAGGAGGCAGGATAAAAATATTAAAAATAAACAAATTCTGTTTGAAGATCCTCACATTTTTAGTTTTCAATTGCAGGAAAACAAATGAATTATTTCTACTGCTCCATTTCTAAATCCTACAAAACCTCTTTTAGATCCGACTTTATTCCAGCTATCCTGCTGTTTCTCATAGAAACTGTTAGCCAGTGAAAATACTTCAGATAATCCCCACATAAATAGATGTTGGGAAATATCTTTCAAGCTATGAATAAGGCCAAAATATGTTTTCTAGAACAACTGTATTGCATGTGAGCCAACAACAAAAAAACCAAGCTATGATATATCTTAGCTTAAATGTTAAACATTTCCATATACAGTGATATGTTATTATTCTGTCTTCTGTTGCATCTGGTATATCACAAGGAAACTAAAACAAAGTTGTTCTATTACACTGAGATTCTTCATGCTTTTATCTATCATTTTGTCAAAATTCTCAAACATATCAAATTCTCAAACATATCAAATACACGAATAGTTCAAGAAAAGCCATAACTAAAACAATAAAAAAACGTTAGTGTTAGAGCGGTTGTCAAGAAATGGTGACAGAATAATTGAAGGGGTTGGGCAAAGACGTATTTTTAAATGGTTGGTGGCATAGAGATAGTCCTCAGGTTATGACCACAATGGAGCCCAATATTTATGTTGCTAAGTGAAACATTTGTTAAGTGAGTTTTGCCCCACTTAATGACCTTTCTTGCCACAGTTGTTAAGTGGATCAAGGAAGCTGTTAAGTTAGTAACAGCTTCAGTTGTTAAGCAAATCTGTCTTCCCCATTCACTTTGCTTGTCAGAAGGTCGCATAAGCTGATCACATGACTCCAGGACACTGTGACTGTCATAAATACGAACCAATTGCCAAGCACCTGAATTTTGATCATGTGACCATGGGGATACTGCAACAGTTGTAAGTGTGTAAAATGGGCATTAGCCACTTTTTTCAGAGGCGTTGTAACTTTGAATGGCCACTAAGTGAATTGAGGCCTACTTGTATTCTAGTGCCTAATCAAAATGGGGTTATAGTTCCTCATTGACGTTGGAGACAGGGGTCTCCAACCTTGGCTACTTTAAGCCTGGAGGACTTCAAACATCCCCTCAACACGACCACCAGACTTTATTTGGTTCAGAACTGAATGGGTGGTTAGTGTTTATGATCTTCAAAATCATAATTCAAAGGCTAGTATCTTCTCGGCGTCTGGTTTTCAATTCCACACAGAACCACTTGAAAGACCTTTGTTTTCACGACTCTAACTTTTGCTGCCATTGAACTATCCTTAAGAACTTGTCTAATTTTTTCACTGCCATTTTGCCTAGAATTAATCTCCTCTTTATTTCTCTAGAACCGGGATGGGGAACTATGGCGCCTTTATGAGCTGTGGACTTCAACTCCCAGAAATCCTGAGCCAGCATGGATGGCTCAGGAATTCTGGGAGTTGAAGTCCACAGACTGTAAAGGGGCCATAGTTCTTCATCCCTGCTCTAGAACATACAACTGAACATACCGGTCAACAGTGAAAAGTGAAGGTAATAGTAGATAACTGACACAACCCTTGTCATCTTGGTATTTAATATTAACCGATATTTTCCACTTTCTTTCTTTTAGTTTCATTATGAGAGCTTCACTTTTCGCAAAGTAGGTTTTTCCAGCTTCACAAGTGTTTTGACCTATTTTGATTCCAGCTATCATCTTTTTCAAATGGTTTTTATTCTGACCTTCCTCTGAATTGGAACACTTTCCTTCCTGTTATGAGAGCGGCCTGGCTGAAGACTTATCTACCCACATTACTGAAGATCCCAGGGATGTCACATCAAGTGGTTTCTTCCTAGTGACATCACCCCCTTACCTTTTGTGCTAACAGAGAAGAGATAAAGAAATACTAGCAATGCCGTGTCTTACTGTGCTGTATTTTTTTTTACACAGCTGAACAAACAGATTTGTCTATACAACCATTAGCCCTAATATATTCTATATTATGGCATACTCTAGAGCAGAGGAACCCAACCTTGGCAACTTTAAAGACTGTGGACTTAAAGTTGGGGAAATCTGATGGTTAGGGAATTCTGGGAGTTGAAGTCCACAAGTCTTAAAGTCGCCAAGGTTGGACACTCCTACTCTAGACCTTTAAATTGTCCATCTCGCTGTAGGCCCAAAAGGAATATAGCTACAAAATTGAAAATTTGCAAGACACCCTGGCAGAGCAGCCATTTAATCAAGCATTTAATTTACTTGATAGAAAAAAAACAGTTTTTAAAGAACTCTTGGCCAGTCTCTTTGGCCACAGAGTACGATTGAAAATAGCAAGCGATCAAGATTCCTTCCAAAAAAGTCACTTTAATCAGATACCTTCTTCTAGAGTTCTGTTCTGTCTTGATAGCACTGTCCGATGTATCACATGAACCAAGTATGAGGAGGAAGAGATGATGAAGTGAGATGAGATAAGAACCAGATGGCCCAGAAAGAGAGATAGCAATCTTTATTAACAGCAAAGTTATGGCTCACAAAGCTTTCTATGAGTGCAATGTCCATAGCTTGTTTTATGAATACAACAGCATCAAATAACATAAGTTACAATCTTATCTCCTGGTTAAATAGACCATATAGATAAAACTTTGTTTTTGGTTGGTTTTTTTTTTATTACACAGGATAATATTGTGACAATAGGTTCATGAAAAATCTGCTGTATTGTTATTATGTTCTGTTCTATCCTGCTGTTTTCAATACAGTAAAGTACTTATATTACCTTACTGGATTTCTGTATACATACATCCTGATACAACACACAGGTCATAACACAGTTGGTGAGGTTTATTCACTTACCGTGTTTTACTTGTTTTAGTGTGGATGCAACTTGATAGCTGAAGACAGATTCACAAAGGAATCGTTCTGACCCATCTGTAAATAGAGAAAAAGAAAAGTCTTAAAATATTTATGATCCTGAAAAAAAGTCTTCTTAGAGTATCACAAAAAAAAAAAAAAACCCTACAGTCTTATTTTTATGCCACGGATGTATAACTTAACAAGTGTCTGCATTCATGTAACAATGACAAAAACTGAACCAGGCCAACAGCTCAGCCTCTGATCCAACAATGACTAGCCAGTTGTCTGTATGAAACTCAGGGTTTGCTCAACAGCAACGCCATTTCCCGCTGTCATCTTCAAGCAATGGAGTCTCGTATATCTGGATGACAGGTTGTTGGGAACCGTATGCTGGAGTCTTGATCTGATCCAGTCATTGTCAGCTCTGGAAGCCATACTGAGTTTCGATGCTTCCACACTGCCACAACCTTGAGAAAGTGGGAGAGGGGTGGATTCAATTGAGTAGCTCCAAGTAGACACAATAAGTTTTTGTGTTGGTTCAAGGTCATTGAGTATGGCGCAGGATGAAATAAGGACCTTACTTTTGGATGGATCGTGATTAGGCCATGTGATATGATGATGGCCAAGGGGGGATGGATTTGTAGTTTCGGAAACTGTAGGAAGCCCGGAAACTTTCAGATTCGGGATTCCAAAGAAGTGCCAGTTTACTATCCTAATAAAGGTACTTTGGAGATATGTTTGTCTTGGAATTATTGATTGGAATGGAGGTTTGCTGGAACCCTGACATTTTCTCACTGGCATGCAGCTTCCCTTCCCTTCTCCCCTCCACCCGCCAGCTTCATTACATTTACTATAGGCTTCCAGATAGAATTAAGGATGCTTGTTATCACCTATAAAGCTTTATAAAGCACACGGTCAATTTTGGGGAACCACCTCTCTCTAAAAGTATTGGCTTTTCCGTCATGTTCTGATACAGGGATGTCAAACTCAAGGCCCATGTGTGGCCTGCGGGCTGTTTAGATCTGGCCTGTAGGGCTGCCCTGGAAACAATGAAGGACCAGCCTGCAGTGCCTCTGCCAGGGAAAACGGAGCTCAGGAGGGCCACACATGGCCCTCCCGAGCTCCGTTTTCGGCTATGACAGCCTCCTGCAACCCTCTGCCAGCAAAAATGGCCCTCCTGAGCTCTGTTTTCACTGGCAGAGCACTTGAGTCACTACCGGTGCTCCCCCGACACGAATGAAGTTAAGGTGGCTACACCTACCCTGACCACACCCACCCTGAGGTCAAACACAACCCTGATGTGGCCCTCAATGAAATCGAGTCTGACACCCCTGCTCTAATAGTTATCCATGCTTTGAATCCTTTCTTTTAAACCAGGGGTCTCCAAACTTGGCAAATTTAAGACTTGTGGACTTCAACTCCCAGAATTCTCCAGCCAGCTATGGAACACAGATAAGACTTGATGATACCAGATAAAGTCACGTTTGCTCCCAACAGCTTGCTGCGTACAGTTTCCTGTACTAGCTGGACTTTGCCCTTCCCCAGTTAACAGAGCTACTCCCATTCCCTGTCAGCTGTTTGGCTTCCTCCTCCGAGTCAGATTCCAACAGGGGCATGACAATTGGGATCCATGACATGATTTCTTTTTTTTTTTTTCAAGGATGCATTTTCATTTTGAGTTTAGTTAAAGAGAATTGAAGCGGCATTTGTTCTTGTGTCCAATGCACAAAAACTATGAAATGCCTTGTTTCAATGTTTCAGGATAACATGGCTGTATACCAGATACAACATGAATTGCATGGCTTACAGGGGAGGAAAGGGCCCTGATTCCCTTCATTAGCTGCAGCTGGGAACACAGTGCATAAAAAAGAAAGCTGCGTGCAGCAAACTGTTGGGAGCAAATGTGACTTTCTCTTGTATCGTCGTGGCTTATCTGTATTCCTGGTGTCTTCCCAACTGCCGTGCTTTCAAGTCTGAAATTCCTTCTTCTGCCCTGTTGAACTAACTACTGCAGTGTGGTTTGTTTGGATTTTTAGTTACAGTTTGTACGTACTTTGTTTTCAGGCTGAATTTCCTCCACTTAAAGACTGTTCCTGGGAGTTTTTCTCCAGCGGAAGGTAACCCGGACATTGGGGGCAAAGTTGGAGATATTAAAGGGACTCTTATTGCTTATTTGACTGTGTTGCCTTTGTGCCATGCCTCAGGTCATCACACCAATATTTAAATTACAGTTTAATAGACCTTCAAGACTGCTGCAAGACTGGCACACTATCTGTGGCCAAGGTTAGGAGAAAGACTCAAGACCCTGAAAACGATACATATTTCCAAAACCTTTACTGCTAGATATGATATGGGTTACTCACCCATAAAAAGCAAATAATGGCCTGCCAAGTTGATAATACAGACTTGATAGTACAAGCTGAGGTATGTCATGCATGGAATGAATTGAATTTAGTTCTTATTTTTATTCTCAAACATGAAACCTAAGCTAGTTGATTTAAGTCAGAACATTATCTTGTTTCTCAATTGCCCTGTTCAAATTCTCATAAATACAGGCTCCCTGCTACTTTATTTTATTTATTTTTATTTATTTGATTTGTCAATCACTTAAAAGATAATAGATATAAGTATAAACATGAGTAAGAATACAGGAAATAGGTACAAATAAATGGCGACAATAGGACAGGGATGGTAGGCAAGATTGTGCACTTATGCGCTCCCCTTACAGATCTCTTAGGAATGGGGTGAGGTCAAAAGTGGATAATTTGAGGTTAAAGGAGTGGGGGTTGAGTGGATGTAACAACAGAGTCCGGTAATGAGTTCCAGGCATTGACCACTTTGTTGCTGAAGTCATACTTTCTGCAATCAAGTTTGGAGTGGTTTACATTGAGTTTGTATCTGTTGTGTGCTGTTGTGTTGTTGCGTCATTGACTGGTAGGACATTGTAGCAGATAATTTTGTGTACTGCGCTTAAGTCCAACCGTAGGCGGCATAGTTCAAGGTTGTCCAAGTCCAAAATTTCAAGCCTGGTGATATAGGGTATTCTGTTGCGAGATCACTTAGGATCAGCAACTAATTTTCCAAACATACCATCACACAAACTCTGAAATAACTATCATTATAAATTTGGTATCCTCCAAATATTCTGAATTACAATTCCTATCATCCCATTCATGACAGCTGCTTCCGGAGGCACCAAATTCACAAGTAAGATATGGAGGGCCAACCTCTTGATATCTACAAATCGCTTTTAACATGGAGGAGGAAACGCAGAGCCCAGTGATATTTAGTAGGCAGGAGGCTCAAACCACACAACAGGTGTTTCTATGTCTTCTGATCTTTGGGCTGATTCTTCGCAGTTGAGGTCCCCCCTCCCCACCCCAGTTGTTGTTAAAATTCTGTCAACACAGATGCCACAATTTTCCACCATTTACATATCTGAAAATGGTAGAAAACGGCACTGCTGATTTTCATAGGAAGTTCTGGGAAGAATAACCAGCTCTGATCTACAGGAGATCTGCTCTAAGATGTAAAACCGTCACACAACATGTTTGGAAATGACGCACTACTGTCACTTCCCATTTTGTTGAGGATAGGTGGTAGTAGTAGCTTTCCCAATTTACATTTGCTTAACTCTAGATCTTTCCTTGGAAAAATAGAACCGGGAATCCCCAAAACAGGTTTAAAATGACAATTGTGTAACAAGGAACCGAAGTTTCATCTTAAGAGACATAATGGAAGGTAGGAATTGTCAGCAGAGCATTTAAAGGCAAGAGTGGACTTGTGAAAAGCCTGCCAGGTTCCTTGCCCAAGAAATTTGATTTTATTTAGATTAATTTAAAAAAAAAATGAATTGGAAGCTTACTTGCTGCAAACTACCAGCTTCAAACACAATCTTTGCTTTACAGCAGAGTAGCTGAAGCTGAAAAAGCTTATATACAGCTGTATATAAGCATAATCAGTTGGCAACTGTGTTTATGCATGTATGTACTGCCCTCTGTAGTAGAGCACAATTCAGCTGCTTTCCTGGATCCAACTCAGTAGTCAGTTCTTCTGGACTCATTGACATTATATACTTATAATGTCTTACTCCTACTCTGTTCTTAAGAGACATGAGAAACAATTAAGCAGGCAAATTTGCCTGTGGGGCCCTAACTTCCACCAGTCTTATACATCCATAATTCTGCTGACACTTCAGCTAAACGTCTTGCAACTTATTATTATTTAGTCTGCTGCAGGAGCTTTTGATGTTTAATGCCTAACATGCTGCCAATATAACATCAGTTGATGTGTCTAAACAAGGCAGCGTCCTGCTTTTATTAGGTGGTGACTGTTTGCCCCGGGCCCAGAACGAACCGGTGTGAAACCTGGTGTGGTATAAGTGGGTGCCAAACTATGACTGAAGAGGCCTAGATTCAACTCTAATGCTCAGCCACGGACATTTTGCAGAGCGATTTTGGGCAAAGGGGGTCCCACCAATCTCACAAAGATGTTAGTGCAGGAGTGAAATGAAAGGGAATTCCGGGGGAAAGTACCTTAAGCTCCTGGGCAAAAAGCTAACAAACAAATAAACATAAAGGCTCTGGGTGGCTTTGGGGATCTTAATAAGCATTAATCCTAGTGGCTTGAGCATTTATCAGTCCTCTGGCAGTAGGAAAGGTGAGATATGTCATCATCATCATCATCAGAGTTGGAAGGGGTCTTAGAGGTCATCTAATCCAACCCTATACCATTTCAGATAAATGGGCTATCAATCTCTTCTTAAAAGTTTCCAGTGGTAGGGTACCCTCCACTGAAAGAGCTGTTCCATTGGTTGATTGTTCTCCCTGTCAGAAAGTTTCTCCTTATTTCCAGGTGAAATCTCTCCTTGTTCAGTTTCCATCCATTGTTCCTTGTCTGGCCTTCAGGTGCTTTAGAAAATAGCTTGACCCCCTCCTCTCTGTGGCAGCCCCTCAAATATTGGAACACTGCTATCATGTCTCCCCTGGTCCTTCTCTTATCTTAACCCAACTATTGCCTGGGGAGAGTGGACACACATTTTGAAAGAATGTCTTAGTTGATTCTCCTAAAAAAAA